AAGGCCAGAAAAAAAAACATTTTACAATTAAGGCATCTCAGCAAACGCTTTCCCTTTCTAGGCCGCCCAAGTTGTACAGCAACATACAGCAATGTTTAGCGACCCAGACTCTCTTTGTCATTCATGTCTTAAACCATGCTGCCTTATGAGATAACAATCCCCTCTACATGATATGCAAAACGCCCATAAGTTTTGCGAACCTACAATACATTATGTTATAAACTAAATCTTAGTTTGTCTCTTGAATCAAAGGACATTTAAGACTGTAAGGAATAGGAATTTATGTGTGGTTCTCAGCCTATACTCTACTGGATTAGTGAAGTCTTACTGTAAAGTCCATTCATAAACATGTAATGCTCTGCATGACTTTACTCTATACTTGGCTTTGTGTGTGCCTGCTTCAATGATCACTGAAATATGTTTACACTTAAGCCTCCACGGAAGTTCACAGTGCTTATGGAGATGCATACACTGACTTTTTCACAGAAAGATGACTGCATTGAGGTACATTTTGTATTGGATGCATGATTAAAGATGCAAGAATGAAGAATGGTTGCTGCCCTATTTTCGAATTGTTACAACATCTTTAGTGCTATACTGAATTGTTTCACCTCCATCTTCGAACTGTGAATTTTTAGTTTGCATTCATGCACTGGAAAGCTGTGTGAGTTTTTATTTTCTTGCACACTGCAAAAGAGACTATAAAGTAGGCCATTATTTTTTGTCATTCTTGTCTTCATGCTCCCCTGCCATGTTTGTTATTCCCTCAGTATTTGAAGAACATCATTGCCCATAAAATGTTCCCTCTTTCTTTTCCTAAACTCTTTGTGTGTTAATGCACAAAAGATATGAGTTCAACAATTTTAAATACCAAATATATTTTGGCTTGACCACTTAATAGTTGTACAGACACAAGTGAATTTAAAATGGACTATGAAGGGGAAAAGTCTGTGGACTGAATGGAGGTAATATAACACAATGCTTCTTAACTGACTTGATCATTCTTTATTGTCTTTGTAAATAAACTTGTTAAGATTTTCTCACTTAAATGTTTAGTCGTATTATTTTTGGTGTCTATAACAGTGAGAAGCGGTAGAAGCACCCTGCAGTGCCTGAATGTATTCATAAATATATAAATACTGTATTTCCCACAAAAAGGAATGAGATGCATGCCACTGATTTTGTGCTGACCATCACATGTTGAGAGCCACAGAGGACACACAATACTAATTCAGCTGCCTTATTTTAGACCAGTTAACCTCTGGTTTGTTCCCTGCAATTAGCTCATTAAGCAAAGCTACTGTCAACACCTCAATTATTAAGCAGCGGCCGGTGTCAGTGTCCTCTCGCTGACTGTCTCAGAGGAGATGGCTGGGAATATGGCTGATTATATCAAGTAACGCAGCACCTATTGAGGTCTATGAATTTTACCCTGTGGACAAGCACAAGAAAGGTGAATATAATATATAGTGAGAAATAATAAAATAGGCTATATCAATTATAATAATATTATTGCGGCTAGTTAAAGTTTTAACATAGTTTTAGTTGGATTATAGACATATCCTACACCTTGGAAAACATATGTTAGTATGAGAAAGCCTATAGCATTGTGGAGTAGGTTTACAATTTACTTAACAATATAAATGGTGCGTTCCAGTTGATCTCATAAGTGGAAAATGCCCAGTCGGAAGTGTCAACTGGCCCGAGTTCAGATCCAATTTGGCTGCTACGTGCATCGAAAGGGATGTTTAAGATGCAACTGTTGAGTTTATGAGCAGCTTAGTCGTCTTTTTGTGTAATTAAATCAATCAATCAATCAATCAGTAAATTTTTGTTTGTATAGCGTCAATTCATAACAAGTTTTATCTCGAGAAAAAAATGCAGGTAAAATACCTTACTCTTTGTCTTTTAACATTACAAAAGAGCAGGTAAAAAGACCTTACTCATTGTTATGTTACAAAAAGCAGGTAAAAGACCTTACTTATTGCTATATTACAAAGATCCGGCCTATCCATCATGAGCACTTTAGCAAAGCAGCAAAAGTTACAGTGGTAAGAAAAAACTGCCTTATTAAAAGGCAGAAATCTTCGGCCGGATCCCCGGCTCATGACGAAACAGCCTTCACAGACCTAGACTGCGCCGGGCTTGGAAAGGGATAGGGGGAGAGATGGGATAAGATGCAAGAAGAGGGATAGGGAGCAAGGGGGTTCGGGGAGGCAAGCCATCCATCAACAATCCAGTGGTGGGGGGGGTAAATAAATCAATGAGACCGATGGTATTGTGCAAGTTCTCTCTGTGGAGATCTTTTCATGTTATTTTCGGTCAGAAACTATCATGTAGTGTGTTGTTATCGTCTGGTATTAGCTAACAAAACAAAGGTATTCCTGGACGCGTCCATGTTGCTTTTCCGACTTGCAACTGGAAAGCAGTTTACTCGGGTGTAACGTCATTCCCAGTTCCCAGTTCCCAGTTCCAAGTTCCGACTTCCGACTTCCGAGGTAAACGGAACGCGGCATAATTTATGAGAATTAACATTAACCTGTTGCTACTATTAGCTGAAGGTGAACGTTACAATCCTAAAAGTAGGCTAACATTTGCGTTTATGGAGAAAATGTGGAAATAAAAAAAAACAACATTTTAATAAACTACTTAAAAGTAGGTGAAACAGTAGCGAAACAAATTAAAAGCAACATTAATAAAAAGCAACAATAATTAGCTATACAAAGGCCTTATTGATCAAATGATTGAAATTTTAGCCGGGGGAAAAAGCTGAAAGCTGAGTTTGATACCTGGCTGAGGTAACCTACATTGTTTAAGTAGCCTAATGGAGAAATGGGTAAAACAGATAAGGTACGCCTAAAATAAGTGTTAAATATTAAAATAGATACCTAAGTTGTTGGAAACTAGTAGGCTAAATAAATATAATTTGAGACATTTGTATGGAAAATTATTTGCAATAATAAGCTAAAAGTTATTGATGTTGTTGACACATATGGCTAAGTAAGCTAACTGTGATTGGAGGCCAGTTTTGCTAGCTTGAATATGTTAGCTTATATAGAATTGGATGTATTGGCTAAAATAAATAAATGCTTGAAATAGTAGAATTTCAAAGATTGCTTTTACATTTAATAAAATATTAGACACATGAATAAAGAATACACTACTTAGTGACTAGACTATAGCTGTACAGACTTAATAAGCTATGTGTGACTCAGATGAAAGATTGGCTATTTAGTCTCATTATATATTCTGCAACCATTTATTCCTTTTAAAAAGGAGTCTGAAAAAATCATGTTGCTGACCTAATCTTATGATCTGCTGGGTATAAAGACACAACATCTTAAAAAAAAGATAAGTATGAAGTCCATTTGTTCCATCAATTCCTCTTTCAAACTCTTATCATGTGTGTATTTTAAAAGATAAGCATGGTGTACTTTTTAAAGCGTCCTTGGGTTTCATGAAAGGCGCTATATAAATCTAAGTTATTATTATTAATATTATTATTATTAATATTATTACTGTAGTATCTAGTCTCATGTTAGGGGTTGGTTCCTAGTTGCAGTGGGTCAAATGAGGTCTGACTCACTGCTTTCATCTGAGGGCAGGGTAATCTAACGTTGAAAGATCAATAAGACCAAACTCTGTCCTTCATCTCGATATCAACATCAGGTGTCAGGTGGCAGCAATAAGGCTAATGGGATGATTTGGCTTATAGTCAAGTGAAGATATCTTCACCAGCGTGATAACACTGCAATTAGCAGAGAGGAATAATGCATGTCTAATGATATTATTGCTACCTCTTAATGTTAAAACACAGCTAGAAATATTCAATTTCATATTTAACACTATGCTTCGTAAACAATTCAACATTTCTTATCTGGTCTCAGATTTTACTTTGTATTTTTCAAAACGTTTATCAAAGCAATACAGACACAGAGTCTAGTCTTACCATTAAGTTATCTTGCAGATGACCACATTGTGAACTAGATATCCAAGAAACAGAAGTTTTGATTGAATGGCTGATTTTGTTGTGAGCAATCAATTGTTTGTATTGCTGTTGTGTATCAACAGATTAGTCTTGTCTCAGTGTGCTCTGGTTAAAATTTAATTTGGGTAGATTTTATCTCTCACAGAAACTTAAACTTGTAGTGCAGGTGAGATTAAATCTAGTTGCATTTGTAGATGACAATTCATTCTGAATAGCCATATAAATGATTTTCTGTGGTTCTAAATATAATAACTATATTGGACAGAACCAGGCTAACAAGTTTCCTGTCTTTATGCTAAGCTAAGTTGACCATCTGCTGGACAAGCTTCTTCTTAAGAGTTCATTGGACAATCGACAAGAGGCTGGCAGGAAGTTGCCATGAAAGACATAAATCATTGATATTTACTCATCCATTGTAAATCTATGATTAGAGTCAATCAGTTGGCATTCATGAGTTTCTTTCGTTGAGGACATGTAAATGTGATTCACACGCTAAGCTACACTGAAGTTATATTAGGACAACCAAAGAGGAAATGTAAGGGTGAGATTGTGTATGTGTGTATTTATGTGTTTAGGCGTGTGTCTACCTGTCTGCGTGCGTGTGACTGCTGGTAAAAGCGAGACGCCCCCGGCACGTAAAGCGATCCTGACACCATGAATAATGAAGAGTGCCGTGGCAGAGAGGATAAGTTCTCTGTGTAAGGCTCCTTTTTCACAGGGCTTTCTCCTGTGGGTCACGTGAGGGCTGACATGACAGTAATGTTTCATGAGTTGTGTGTGGAGTTTGGTTGTATTGCCATATATATTGCCCAGGAAGGAGACATTCAGGCAGCCATCAGTACATCTGCATGTCCTGAGTCTGCATACCTGCAGCTGCACACACCTAGGTGGTTCTGCACCTCAACATCCCAGAACCTCCCTGAAGCCAAGGGTCAAATGAATTGTCTTACACTATTAGAAACTCAAGGCAGCACTTACGAAACTAAAGGCCAGGGAAGTGGATGAATAAAAGATGCCGTCGAAACAGAAAAAATCCACAGCTTTAGAAGAAACCGAAGAAGTTGATGACGAAGTAGAGGAAACAGAGCCAAAGTTAAAGGAGAGGAGCAAAGGTGTGACCCGTGGAGACAGCTCAAAAAGAGAGAAGAGTCGGAAGAAACACAAGATCGCAGACGACTCTGATCATCAGGAGGCCCAAGGGAAAGAGAAAAAGAAAAAAGAGGGTGACAAAGTTAAAGAGAAAAAGAAGAAAAGGAAGCAAGATGGTGATGCTGAAGCTGTTGCTGTGATTGAAAATGAAGCTGAGGAAGGTGAGCAGAACAATAATGACCCCGAGACCAATTACAAAAAGGAGAAATCAGAGAAACTCAAAGAGGAAGTGACTGAAGGAGCAAAGGAGGAGAAGAAGAAAAAGAAGAAAAAGTCCTCCACAGAGAATCCAGAGGGAGAAGAGGAGATGGGATCCAAGGATAAGAAGTCGAAAGACGGCAAGAAGAAAAAGAAGTCGCACAATGACGATGACGAGGAGCCATTGATTGAGGAGCAGGAAGAGGAGGAGGACTCCAAGAAAAAGAAGAAGAAGAAGGCAAAGAAGGGATCAGCAGAAAGTGATGAAGACAAAAAGAAAAAAGGGAAAAAATCCAAAAATAAGCAGGTGGACTATGCTGTGATCTACCAGAATGAGCTGCTTGGGTATCACACTGACTCATCTGATGGATATGAGGATGAGTACTTCAAAAAGAAAGGTGAGGTTTTAACACTGAGTTGTAGTTTAAGTAAGTGCAAGTTGCATCACATATTTGCACACCTATTGGAGCTTCCCAACTGAAAAATCAGGTATCCTCCATTACCCTTTAGCTAAAAACTTAGCACCCTGGATGGAAGCCCTTTTGTGATTGTTCTTTGGTGAAAGCTCAGTTATGTTCTACATGAATGGAGCCAAACAGAAGCTCCGGGACAGACAGGTGCTGGGTGCCGGCCCAGACTCAGGGGCTGGGAGAACCACCTGGGCAAGAAGTAATGCCAAGAGCCAGATGATTTTTTATGAGCCAGTCATCTTTTCAATACAGATCAGGGTATTTTAAACCAGGGGAATGAGATCCTGCAGGATTAAGTAAGGAGAAGACCTCAGTGGGTGTGATTTATGGGCTAGATAAAACATTTACATGAACAATTTAAATTAAAGCTAAGTTGTGGATTCTTTTTTCTACCTAAATAACTAAAATGTATTTTTTTGTAAACTTGTTTTTTGTGCATCACTGTTATCTGGGAGCTAAGTTAGAAAGTTAAACTGCCATCCAAAGAAGGTGATGTCATTTATTAAAAATATTAACTTAAAGATGATGCTAGATTATGACCCTGCATGTGGAGAACTCACAGTATATGCTAACTTCTTTCTTGTGTACCAGTTAGAGCATTAACGGTCTTGGCAGATAATAGGTTGTTGAAAAGCAATGGGTTAAATATAGCACTCTTACAAATGAGACTGGGATCTGAGTCCTGCTTCAAGCCACATTCAACACTGATTTACAATATTATCAGCATAAATTACTACACTAACTTAACCAAGTGCTTTTGCTGCCTGAACCCAAATCAAACCATGATCAAGGCAGCTTTAACCACAGATAGATACTTTGTGTAAAGTTTGCAATTTTTCAAATCTTACCAAGATGAAGAAATATCTTGGATGAAAATCCAGTTGCCCTTTGGAGAAAACTCAGTAATGCCATAACCTTGATGACTGAAAACAGTCACAGTCTGTTTAGTTCAGGCACCTAAACTTTTTTTTTGTTTAGGTAAGGATTAAAGTTTGGGCTAAATAATACTTTGTGTCTCAGGCTACACTAGAGTTCAGCTGGAGCCCAGTGAATGAGCAATAGGCATGTGCCTGTGTGTAACGTTAGGTCCGATTTAGTGCTCAAAGTTGGTACCAACTTAACATTTTTATTTATGGACTTTTATGGCTTTGTTCGAGAGACAGGACAGTGGATAGAGTCAGAAATCAGGGAGAGAGAGAGAAAGAGAACAACCACTAGGCCAAAGCTATACCCTGTACACCAGCTGGATTGAAGCCTTATTTGTGTTGCACCTGGGTGTACGTTTTACGCCTAGGAAGGAGCCGGTGTTAGAACATAAAGTCAGACTAGTTCCTGAGGTAATATATACGGAAGATGTAACAGACACCAAACTGCAGTACTAGCAGTAAAGTTTCTCAAACAAAGCAAATCACAAAGGACCAAAAATACACTCTATTTAAAGTTCAAAGCCAAACATCTCTTTTGTTGCAAACCTAGGTGTCTGTGTCTAGACGTATTGTCTAGCAAAACTTGTTTAGCAAAACAAAAACAAATTAGAAGTGCTTTCCCCAGAAGATAGGTCTTCGTAGCAGATAATTTAAAAAACTAAACTGTATTCAAAGTTGTTTCGGATTTAAAAAGTTCACATTGATCAATGCATAAACATCTGAACTTCAAAGGCTTTTTTATACTTTCTTACCCCCATTATGCTGACAGAGAGTGCTGAATGCTGAGCATTTTCACAGCTTGACAATTACTACCATAAAGTAAATGATCAAAGTAAACATGCTTTTAGCTTCCGATCATAGACTTTGGAAGGAGCAGTTTGTATCATTATGTAGCATCAATGTCAATGATGCATGGGTGTTTACTTGCTTTCTCACCTCATTGGCTCCAGTGGTTCTCACCAAGCTCCAGGGAGATTATCAAGGCTCAGTTATACCAGGCTACTGTTTATTTGATTTTATCAGGTGTCTCTCTTTCTCTTTAATCTGGTTCTAATAGATCTGCTTACTGTTAATTAGATATCCATGTCCCCAGGAGGATTGAGTTTGGTCAAATTGCTCTTTATCAGGTCTCTACCTTCTACTTCCTCTACTGAACGTTTTTTTTTTTTAGGTCATCTGTAATCTATCTGTTTGTCTTTAACATTTCCTTAATTGGATTTATCATATACTCTTACTCCCTTTATGCATTTCTTGATTGACTTGAAAAAAGTACATATTAAGTCCTACAGTCCACACAAATGCTTTATAACATTCACCCAGTAGGCTATCTGTTACATAGCCAAACGGCCCCCTAACAGTCTACCCCTGTTCAGAGAGGACACAACTTTATCCCCCATTGTTACTCTCTGTCTCAGAATGCCCCATACGTTTTGGTTTACCTTACGACCTATTACGTAACCAAAGGAGAGATGAGTTTACATTTACACACCACGTTTCATCAGGTCTATAGAGTTACCTCTGCATATACCAAGCTATTGTGTCAAAGGCAATAGCCAATCACTGACTAATCTCCCACTTAACATTTAATGCTGCTGTCACTGTAACTCAAACACAGGATGCTCTACAGATTTGACTTAAAATGTTCTCCTAAAAAAATTGAGAATCTTTGAGTTGGGATTCTTGTGAATTACAAATTAGATGAGTCGTGGTCGCCTCTTTGAAATCATTTTGACCAAACATGAGTAAAAAGTGGCTCTCAGAATGCATGTGTGAAAAAGGCTTGTGAGTCACAGTACATAAGAGTTAAAAGAGAAAGACTCAACAATTCCAGAGGTAGGTCATTTTGTTTCTACCTTTTATTCTAATCTTAAAATGTGCCTTCAGATCTGAGTCTGACCCTGAGCTCCTTTCCCATGTTAGTTTTCTCATGTTGCTAATGTTTGCAAATTAGCTCCAAACACAGTACACATGAGGCTAAAAGGGAATGCTTTTAGTTTTGCAGTTATTTAGTGCATGACCAAAGTTTCTTTACTATCAACAAATGATGTACATTTTTGTCCTGATGTTGGTGCTGAATGGGGGAATGCTTGTACCAAGTTTGATATAAATCCTTCAAGCTGTTATGAGACATTTAAGTCGAGACCAATGTAGTATACATAAACACTTCCATATTGCTTAGCTGCCAGAGACTTAAAAACACAAACAGTGACCATGTGTGTACCACTTTTCTACTGCCGTCCTCACACAAGCACCTTAAATGACACAGACTCAGGTAGACTGCTCAGTTTTCATCCTGTTTACCTTCCCATCAACTCAGTGGTCAGACGAGGAGACACATTTGTGAAACTTGAGAGAGATTCTTGGCTTATGTATCACACTAGACATAGATTCGCTGCTGATTCACTGCATTGAATTGCCTGGCAAACATGCATGGAAGGAAACATGATGCTACCTAATGTTTATAGATTATTGGACACTGTATGAGGATGTGACTTTGTATTTGCCTTTAATTCTAGGCTTTACCTTCAGACTAGACCTTCTTTGACCTCAAACTATTAACAAGTCAAGTCACTTTAACAATATAACACATTAAAAAAAACAGGCATTGACCCAAAGTGCTTTAGAGTCAAGACATGCAATTTAGAAACTGCCTTAGTACACATGATTAGTAGGAGTTCCAATAAAAAGCCATGAAATGAAATGCAATAGAAAAGGATGATACATAACATATATGGCAACCATATTTAAAATCTGAAAAAAGCAATAAAAGAGAGAGAAAAATGACAAAGCTAGTGAGGCCAAACATCAGGACTGTGATTCAGTATTAACATTATTCAGTGAACAGACATCGCTGGGAGAAACTGGTAAATAAAATGATGCCATCAGCAGAAGAAGATTCATAGAAGTGATACTGGAGGTTACATTTTAGAAAAATAGAGCAATGGATGAGGCCCTACTACCAAGCCTTGGGGGTTGCCACAAGTAATGAGAGCAGGTAATGACAACCAGTTTTCAAATGAGAAGGTCCCTCTCGCGCTCTCTGGTGGATTCCATCCTCTTATTGTTTCATGTTGGACATTTTTATTGCAGTAGAGACAGTACAGCATAAATGTTCCTCCCTCACTCTCTTTCTAATCTCCACTCTCCCCTCTTTTCAGTGTACGAGGTGGTCACTATCACTGGTGATGTGAAAGGAGCCGGGACAGATGCTAATGTGTTTGTGACCCTTTTTGGAGACTTTGGCGTTTCACCTAAAATCCATCTGGCAAGCAAGTAGGTTTGAAAGAGTTTATGTTGATGTCATTGAACTACAGCTTGATATGTTGTCTTTAACTCCTGTTCAAACCTCAATGACTCATTCAACTCTGATTTGTTTTACAATTATTTCAGACAATTTTGTGTCAAGTTGATTGAACTTAACTAGTTTACAACTTCAAGTTCATTGTCAGCTGTTAACTTTTAATCTTCTTTATTCCTCTCTGATCTTTCAGCACAGCAAAGAGGTATTTTCCAATCAGTATACAAAAAGGATGGATACAATTCTGTCCTTGTGTTGGGTTGTATTTTGCACATTACACTGTATGGAGGAACATTCCTGCTCAACATTGAACTGAGGAATGAATTCCCTTATAGTGAAAACCATCTCAACCCTGAAACTTACAAACAGTTCACTGAGAGAAGAGGTGGATGGTTGCAACACTGGTTTGAATGTGGCGCAGGAATCTGTCCTCTATACAGTCACATTAAGTGTCGGACAAAGAATATCTGGAGTAAGGAGGAACTATGTGACATGGCCGGTCTTCTTTTCCATTCACAGCTAAATGAAAGAAAACCACCATGTCATTTCTGAGGATGATCGAATGACTCTCGGGATCTTATCAGCAGCAGGCTCCCTTTATCCCTGCACACATTGATTGACAGATAGGCTTACCGCTGCAGTGTATAGGATATACTATCTTATTGTGAGCCACACTGGACCTCGTCACACACACACACCTTGTGGTGGTCTCGTTCATCCACTTTGGTGAGCATCAACATGCCATGTATTCAGTGTCTTCATTGCTGTGTGGCTGTAACAGTGCTATGCTAAGGAAACACTATACATGACTGTTGATGACCTACTTTTGCATATATAATAAACATTCTGCATAGGCAGGAGTTTCACCTTACTCCGATATAAATTAGGTCCTGCCTGTATTGTGTACACACTGAAGAATATTTAAAACATGATACAGGTAAGGGAGAACTGCTATTTCTGCTAAGGCAGATGGAAAATGCAACTCTTTGGAAATTCATTGCAATCAATACAAATTTGATTTGCATGAATTTCAAAGTTTGCATTGGGTTTGCTTTTTTCATATCAATTTTTCCCCACATCATTGTCCCACAGGTAATGTTAGAAACAGGAAACAGAACATGGCCATGTATTCAAGAGTGCGTAGGGAGTTTCGTTCTTGGCAGTTTTTTTTGACACCATGCACCTTAATTATAAGAGCCTTGGCATTGTCTGTGGGTTGAGTATTGTTGGGCAAGGAGAACAGATGGAGATGTGGGTCAGAGACAAAGGCAGGCATTCTCAGTTAAGGAAAAAAATGGTGTCTGATTCGCCGTGCTTGGCAGTGGGGCAACTCATTCGTCTCTGTGAGGGGTAGAAGTACATGAAGAGGAGGAGGCGTCGAAGTGGCTGAGCATTAGAAGGTTTCAGATTATACCACCGCCATGAGACCACCAGGGCACCCTAAACTGGATTAATTCAAGGGATGTAACTTGCTGTTCCAGAGTTCAGTCTAGTTGGCTGTCTTCTCTATAACCCCTGTCATCTATCACAATTGAGAATTATCTATATCTATCATAAACACACACAATTTATCTTTCTCACAAATTCTGACATTTTCTTTATTTACTTTATTTTACAGAAGTCGAACTGCATTCGAGAAGAATAAGACAGATGTTTTCCGTGTCAAAACACACAATATTGGCCCTCTGAAGAAGCTGAGGTACTGTGCTTTAATGAACACTTTGGTGTTTGCATGACTGCAGCAGATACTCAGAAAACACAGCTACAGGTCACTGACAACATCTTAGTTGTGTTAAACAATGCCTCATGCAGGATAAGAGCAGCTTACATAAAGGATCACACTGAAACATTTCTCACTCTTTTTTCAGCTGTGCTTCTAGCTATCAAAGGATTCTCCCCTAGTGACAAAGGGCTAAGCCCCATCTGCTGTTGTGTGTTACTTGTCTTGTGTCTTATTCCAAAGGAGGATGAGTGACATCAAAGCCATCAGACATGATTGGTTGAATAATGCAGCAGGGCGCATTTAAAAGTCAATGAGTGCAGAGGTGGAGATGCTGCACTGTGACTCAGGAAAAGAACAATGTTTTTTTTCCTCCAAATATTGTGCAATTTCTGTCAAAATGACCCCAAGTTAAGGTCCACTAGCAGCATGTTAAAAATAGTTTTTTAACCTTATGACATCATAAGTTGGGCAGATGTGGATCAGTGGTAGAGTCGGTCTTCTCTCAACTGGAAGGTCAGGGGTTCGATCCCCAGCTCCTGCAGCCACATGTGCGATATGTCCTTGGGCAAGACACTTGGCCAAGTTGCTCCCGCTGCTTCGTCGGCGATGTGTGGATGTGCATGAACGGATTAGTTACTTCTGATGGACACTTTACATAACAGCCTCTGCTATCAGTGTGTGAATGGATGTGAAGTGAATGGGTGGGTGTAAAAGCGCTTTGAGTAGTCAGAAGATTAGAAAAGCGCTATACAAGCTCAAGTCTATATACCATTAGTGGACAGTGTTTTCAGTTGTCATAGAGATAGATTGTTTCAAGCTCATTTGTGATTACCTGCAGAGTGATTTCACATCACGCTATGATGTTTGACTCCTCAGGATCGAGCATGACAACACAGGGATGAACGCCAGCTGGTTCTTGGACAGGGTCGTGGTGACCGACTTGAACCGGCCACATCTGCGCTTCTATTTCGCCTGCAGCAACTGGCTGAGTCGGGAGGAGGCCGACAATCTGTATGTAAGGGACCTGCTGGGAAGCATGAACCCCATGGACGTCCCAAAATGTAGGCTACTCTGGAAAACTACTAACACAGAGCAGACACAAGGGTTAGCAAAGGTTAAACACACAACAGTCGATTAAAAGGCTTTTCAATGTCCAAAAGCCAATATAAAAAAGAACAAGGAAACTAACAACCATTGAGACAAAATTAAAGAGAAAAAGGAACTTTTTTCAGAAACTCTACAATTTTATCACCTTGTGTTTGACCAGTTGTACACAAAGGTGTCTGATATCTGGCTGTGTTAGGTTGTAATTGGATTGTATCTGAGTGTAATCCACAGGTGAACCACCACATGTGTTGTAATGTGATCTGACATCGCAGTACCTGGCTGCAGTCAATCAAGCAGAGCGCGGTGAAACCAGGGTTCAGATAAACACACGTGGGCACACATGCTGTATGGAAGTGGTCTTAGCAATATGGCAGTTACCCACACAACGCATACACACACACTGTTTTGAATATTTTTACTGGAATCCACATCAGTGTAGAGTATCTAAAGACGGACAAAAAGTCCAACTCACTGTGATTAAAAAACAGCATGACTTGTAAAGGCAGAAAATGGTTTGCAAAAATACTTATGGACAGCATGTACTGTTCTGTAAGCCCTCCATGCGCAATGATTACAAAGGTGTATCATCATCTTTTTCTCTGTGTTTCGCAGCAAATAAGTACATAGTGAGTGTGTTCACTGCTGACATGAAGGGAAGCGGAACTGATGCCGATGTCTTCCTCAACATCTTTGGAGAGAACGGTGACACAGGTAAGGCAGCAACTAAAGATTTATTTTTATAACTGATTGTTCTGTTGATGATCTCTCAGATTTAATAACTGAATGAAAAACATCAGTGAAATGTTGCCATACATGTGCGTTTCATTTTTCCCAGACCCTGGGTAGACATTACTTTTTAATATTTTCTGATTTAGAGACCAAAACAGTAACAGAAAAGAAAAAAACAAAAGAAAAATGACAAATCCTTACATTTGTACATTTTCTCTTAGAAAATGAAAAAACTATCAATGTAGAGCTATTTAGTTATTTTTCAAACTATCTGCTAATGGACCATTCTTTTGAATGGTAGACACATGTGGCTAATATTTAATTCACCACCACTTTACCACTGGAAAATAATTATTCAATATTTATTGTTCCTGTAGAATCAGAATCAGTGTAGTTGGCCAGGTATGCAAACACACAAAAGGAATGTGACTTTGTTGAGCTGTGCTCTGTACAAAAATATTACAATAAATATCAACAATGAAGGGGGCGTTGGTAGCCTACTGGTTAGTGCGGGCGACCCATTTACGGCCGCTGTGCTCCTCGGGTTCTAATCTGAATCCTTTGGCTCCTTTCCCACATACCACTGTCCTATCTCTCTAATGAAGGCATAAAAAGCCCAAAAATAAACCTTTTAATATCAACGATAAACACAAATAATCAAAGACTAATGTGTACAAGACTTAATGAGACAATAGTGCAGTGGTGGATAATGCTGAGATAAGAGCGCAGTACAGTACAATCATCTGCGGCGCCATCTTGGCACATCATCTGTATTGTTTGGGATGATGCGTCATCGTTATTTCAATGGGTTTGATTTTCATTCTAACTCCTTTGTTTCTTATTAAAGGCGAGAGACGACTTGACAGTGACAAAGACAACTTTGAACGCGGCTCGGAGGACAAGTTTACAATAGAAGCTCCAAACCTGGGACGACTGAAGAAAATCACCATCGGCCACAACAACAGAGGCTCATCAGCGGGATGGTTTCTAGATAAGGCACTGAAAACCACTCATGTATGCATGATCGGTACCAGATATGCACACTTGAATAAAATCACTGACCATTAAACATAATGTCTTTCTCTAGGTGGTTGTTGATGACATGGGGAACAAAGAAATTTATGAGTTTCCAGTAAATCGCTGGTTCGCGATGGATGAAGCTGATGGTAAAATACAGAGGGATGTGCTGGTTGGATCCCTGCAACCAATGGGTGAGAGAAATGCGTTCCTCTGATAAATGACCTTTAAAAGCCCAGTTGCATTTGAGTCATCTGAGTTTTTGGTGTTATGAGACATAATCCAAAAAGGAGACAGCAAAATGAGGATAATATTCCTTTTTGACATCTTTTATCACAGATGGATCACTGGGTCCACTGACCAGTTGCTTCTGGCATAGCAGCAGTCTATGGGGAACAGTTACAACATTGCTCAAAACACCAACAGTCAAAACAAACACCAAGGACAATTTGACCTCTAGAAAAGAAAAGACAATCAGTTTATATTTGAATTTGGAGACAATTATCATATCTCGTTCCTTCAGAACTAATTCTCAAAATAGCTTTTTTCGATGTGTTCTCCTTTATCTATCAGGCATTGTTTACAATGTACAAGTGATGACTGGAGATGTGAGAGGTGCTGGCACCAACTCTAAGATCCACATCGTCATGCACGGCTTCAAAGGCTTAAAGAACAGTGGCAAAGTCTTCCTGGAAGGCGGGGCTTTCGAGCGTGGCCTCATCGATATTTTCAACGTGGAGATTTGTGAACTGATCAGCCCGCTCAGCAGGGTCACCATCGGCCACGACAACGGTGCTGTGGGTGCTGGATGGTATTGTGAGAAGGTACTACACATCCGTTTAATGGTTACAAGAGGATTCTCAAAATGTGTTTTACTCATCTAGAACCCGTTCCTCCACTAGGTGGTGATTTATTGTCCGTTCACGGGAATTGAGCAGACATTTCCGTGCGGGAAGTGGCTGGACGAGGACGAAGGAGATGGACTGATTGAGAGGGAGCTGTACGAGATGGTCTCCCTCAGGCAGAAAAAACAGAAAAGCAAGTCCATCAAACTACAGATCTCTGCTCAACAGAAGAAAAGCAAATCACAGTTATTCTATATATATTATTCTATTTTAGTTTTAATTGATTAAATCCGTTTTTTTAAACAGGTTTGCCTCTGATTAAAACGAGACTTCTTTAATATCAAATCTTCTCCTCTTCCCCTCCAGAGTACCCCTGGTCCCTGTGGATTTGGACATCGGACATTAAAGGAGCAGGGACCGATGCTCAGGTCTTTCTGCAGATCTATGGAGAGAAGGGCAAGTCTGACGAGATCAAGCTGGAAAACAACTCGGACAGTTTTGAACAGGCCCAGCTTGATAAGTTCATGGTAAGCCCTGGCCTTTTTTTTTCAACTGAGCTTCTTCCACTGTGAAGTTCTCCCACTAAGTTGTTATGTATTTTTTTTGTTATTTTTACATTTTTCGGTTTCATTGTAGCTTGAATTGCCGGACATTGGAAAACTGCTGAAAGTGCGCATCTGGCACGAGAAGAGGAACCCATTCTCTGGCTGGCATTTAGCGAAAGTGAGACCATTGCTTTCTCTGTCAGATCTATCAGTGTGAGCTTTCAGGTCTGCAGTATTATGTCTTCTCTTCACACTAACGCCAGGCATACACCGTGGGATTGTATAAATGTCATGGGGGAAATGTCATCTCAAACTGTATGAGTGAGTTGTTTACGATGTTCAACCAAAGCTCACTATTACGTGCTCACACACAATCTGAGTGCTCACTGTAGTTGTTAAATCCGGATACAGCATTGATGTTGAAGTTGAAGTCAGCTGTATTTCAGTTTTATGCACAGCTCAAACACAAACACTGTCAAAAACACTCTCACACTCACAAACACTCATTATCACCAACAAACACAAGCAACCAAACATACCCAAGTTGCTGGAGGTCTGTAGCTATTTCCTGCCGATGTTTCTCTTGTTCATATCTTTTGTGATAGGAGGGGATGACACATCAAACAGGCATGCCTGCTGTTGCCAGGTTGCTTTCAGAGACGCTGTATTCCATTGCGCATATGCAATCTGGAAAAAAAAACTCTGAAGTTAGGCAATCAGTTTGTGTCTCTGCCTTCACTGTGCAAAAAGTATGAAGTCGTACGACCAAAATTTCAATCATGCCAGAAATGTATCTGACTGGTCGAGAGCAGCTGATTGAGCCCTGATCAGCCGCCGTGTCCCTCTGTACACTGTGCAGCATAAAACGTGTGATTCAGCTTCAATTTGGCCCATCTTCAAAATCAAATGCGACTCAAAAATCAGATCAGAAATGGCCTACGTTAATCACCCATAGAGTTTAATTTTGCACTGAGTTGAGAGAAAGAAATCAAACTTTTTATCAATTGTTAGCTTTACACATTATGCTCATGGTGCCTTTTGTGTGGCCCAGTATGTATTAGAGAAACTTTCTCCCTGTTATTGTTTGGAATATAAGTGTTTAAAGGTATACATTAACCAGAGATGAAGATGGTATGTCTTAAAACACAATGTTATTGTTTTCTGCAGTTAACGTTACTCAAAACCCTGACGATGGAGAAATATTCTTTCCAATGTGGCCGTTGGCTCGACATCAATGAAGACGACAATGAGATCGTCAGAGAGCTTCCAGCTACCAGCAAGGTCATCGATGAGCCGCTGCCCTGTAAGAAACAAACTAAGAAAAACACATGCAAATCCGTTCAGGTGATACTTAATACAAGCGAGCTTCTTTTTCACCGGGAGCCAGTGCAGAACTAAACTCTATGTTGACATTAAGAAGTACATGCACGATGATGAACCAGTTTTTCTTTTTCAGTGATAAAGTATCGTGCAACAATCTGCACCGGCAATGTCGGCGGCAGTGGCACTGACGCAACCGTCTTCCTCAACATCATTGGTGACCTTGGTGACACGGGGGAGAGACTCATGATCACGAGCAAAACCAATGTCAACAAATTTGAAAAGGGCAACGTGAGCGCATCGTTATTACAGACCTTACAAAGACATACATTACTATGCTCGGGAAAATGCACTGCAGGCTATTGGAGTTCATTTGATTTTTGTCTTCTTTTTTTTTTCCTTCAGCATGACGAGTTTCTCATTGATGCCGTGTCCCTGGGCCAGGTGCGCAGGGTGCGTGTAGGCCATGATGGACGCGGCGGAGGCTGTGGCTGGTTCCTTGATAAGGTGATGGTGAGAGAGGACGGCCAGCCTGAGAGTGTGGCCATTGAATTCCCCTGTGACAGGCAAGCAAATCATTTTTACACATGTCATTAAGGAGTAGTTTGATCACAACTATACTTTTTTTTTAAGGGTTATTTCAGATCTATCATATGTTTATGCTAAATAGGACACTGCAGCTGGGAGACATATAAATATCTAGCTGGGTAAATATCTAGCCGTAATCTGTACAAAGTGAATCCATTTTCAATCATACTTAAGATCTGTGCAACTTAAATATTTTACATATTATTGAGTTCAATTTGGAGATCCTGGGATGCATATACTGTAAAACTTTGGACAAGGTCAGGCAGGATGTCTCTCCCCACTTTCAGTCTTGGCAAGAGGAAAATATTTAAAAAATACTACGTTAAATCGGAAAGTTTTGGAGTTAAATATTTACTCTACTCTCCCTGACTTACCAAAACATCAGGCAGCTGGACAACATTCAGTGGGGTGTGTTTAAGCAGTTAGGCAGGTGATGGATGGGTTTGCCTTGACAAATCGGCACTAAGTGCGTAATGTTCAGCCAGCTCTGGCAGTAATTGGAGCCAAACCACAAGGCTGGGGTGTAGTGTTGCGTCTGGAAGGAGACTCTTCCTGTCCGTCTGTCTGCCTGTCTTTGTTGTTTGTTTTTTTCTAGCGGCCAGTGCAAAACAATTAGTAATTTGAGTCTTTTGTGTTGCTTTTACTGGACATGTTCTGTTATATCTTAAATGTTTAGTCATTCAAAATCAGAGCTTATGCAATACATACAAATTTTCAACCACCAAGTATGATTGTGATATATTTGTTATGTTGCAGAGGAACTCTGGAAGGGAAGTAATAAATTAACATACTCATTTTTACCCATGTACTGAGCTGCATTCAATCTGGTTGTTGCCCTGTGTTCTCAGGTGGTTGGATCGTAATGAGGATGATGGACAGATCGTCCGCGAGTTAGTTCCAGCTGGAGATGGGCTGCGTCTATTTAGTGAGCGCATTAAATATTATACAAACAATATGTGAAGCCAACTCAAATAATGAGAACATATCTTGTTAATGCTTCTATAAATGACATAACTCTACTAATTACTTTGCTCCCAAGATGTCAGCTATCACATAGCAATCAAGACGGGCAGTGTAAATGGGGCCAGCTCGGACTCCAGGGTGTTTGTCAAGCTGTACGGGGAGAAGGGAGACACTGACAAGATGCTACTGGCAGTTTCAGACAACGACCTCAGAAACTACTTTGAGACGGCTCGCACTGACATCTTTACCATCGACACCTTTGACATCGGACGGGCAAGTTCTTCTGACACATCAAATAAAATAGAGTTTATGTTTCAGACATTTTTATAATTCTATTTTTTAAATCTTGCGTCTACTTTTGTGCTAACAGATCAACCGTTTCCTCATTGGTCACACTAATGAGGGCTTGCGAGCTGGGTGGTTTCTGGACAGCGTGCAGATATCCGTTCCGGTTCATGGGAAGCAGTACATGTTCCCGAGCGACCGCTGGCTCTGCAAAGACGAAGCCGATGGGAAAGTGGAAGTTGAGATCTATCCCAGCGAGGTCTTGGAGATTGAACAATGTAAGTAACAACAACTTGGGCCCTGTTTACACCTGGTTTTAACCTGCATCCTGAGGGATCTGATCACACATGGATGCATATCAAGTACAGGTGTAAATGTACACAAGGTGAACCGATGATGCATTAAGATCTGATCACTCAGTCGATGTTTACACTTACACATGAAGACTTACTTTCCTTTACTAGGGTAATGATAATTCAAGAGATAGGAAATGTGGGGAGAGAGAGTGGGGGGAGGACATGCACCAAATAACTCCAGGACGGGAATTCAACCTGGGACCAGGAAACAACTAACAAATATCTTAACTAATTTTAATAATTATAATAATTAGATAATTTTTAATAATTGTAATGGTGTTATCAAATTAGAAGAGTACACAATTAGCTAAAGCAGCAGAGTTATGGTATCACATAAATAATTAATTATGCGTTACTCCCAACACATTTTGATACCAGGTGTAAACAAGGACATAAAGAGTCCCATGCACAACATTGCTCTGCTCTACATAATCTTTCTTTCTATGTTAATACTGTGATGCCACCTCTTTAACAGTGATCAACTATGAAGTAACAGTCGTCACGGGTGACATACGCTCAGGTGGCACCAACGCAAATATCTACTGTCAGATCTATGGAGAGGAAGGCAAAACTGAAGTTCTCACTCTCAAGAGTCGCTCCAACAATTTTGAACGCGGCACCACCGAGATCTTCAAGGTTCAAATAAAGCCTTAGTCATGATACGTCAATTAAGATTGGAGGTTTTAAGTTCCTGTTTTGACAAATGTTTCATACCTACAACCCAGATTGAGGCTCAAGATGTCGGTAAGTCTACAAGATACGTATCTTCCATGACGGGAAGGGCATCGGAGACGGCTGGTTCCTGGAGATGGTAGACATCAAGCGGGTGAAAATGGCTATGGTGCAGGTGGAGGTGAAGAAGGAGAAGGAGGACACCAAGAAAGACAAGAAAAAGGACAAGAAAAAGAAGAAGAAGGAAGAGGAGGAGGAGGTGGAGATGGTTGAGAAGCTGCAGGAAGTGGTGGAGACTTTTACTTTTCCCTGTAACCGCTGGCTGGCAAAGGATGAGGAGGACAAGGAGATTGTGGTGGAGCTTCTGAGTGAGGAGAATGAAGACCTGGAGAGTAAGTAGAGCAGGAATATGTATTTACCAGATGGTTTGTTTTAATTGGACATTTTGATGTTTAATTAAGCAAATGGCATAAGCTGCCATGTTTATATTGTGTCTGTTTGTCTTTTCTTCTCAGTAAACTCTTACGAGGTCCATGTTTTCACTGGGACAATGTGGGGGGCGGGGACTGATGCCAACGTTTACATTAACATCTACGGAGAGATTGGCGACACAGGAGAACGCAAGCTCAGGAAGTCAAACAACCTGAACAAATTTGAGAAAGGCAAGGTAAGCTTTGTTTCTGTTAGTCCTAGATGTGCAATTTTTTTTTTTAATGTGAATTGCAATAATGAGATCAACGTTTGTTTAGAAAGTGGCCAGGTGCTGAAGATGATTAACTAAGTTTAGCACAAAGAATGGATTAAACTACAGTTTTACTCTCATGTTTGTGGACAAAATAAAAAAAGAGTAATATCATGTTGATCAGTAAGCTTTGGAGGTGCTGAATGGGGGCATTGTAGTCTTCACTGTTTTATCTGTTTTCACAAGCTTAGCTAAATGTCTCCTGGCTGTACCTTTATCTAGAACAAACAGAGAAGGATGGTGTGTAACTTAACACCTGGCAAGACAGCAAATCAGCATATTTCCCAGAATTCCTTTGAGGGGACAGTGTGTGGGTTGCTGGCGACCTACTGGTCAGTTTCTGCTCCTCATGTACGGGGGCTGTTGTCCTCAAAGCAGGCAGCAATGGATTAAATCTGACCTGCTGCTCCTTTCCTGCGTGTCATTCCCGATTCTCTCTCCCTGATTGCTGTCTGTGTCTCCTGTTAAGTCTCTCTCCCTGAACGTAACATTAGCTAACATTTCATTGCATCATTTTCCTAACTCAGTCCCAGAGTCCCTTTTTGGGACAAATCATTTCATTTGAATCATTTCAGTTTCCCCAAAAGACAGGTGACCAAGAAACATTTTTGGAAACATTGGGGACATTTTAAGAGGACTACTCAATAGACTCTTAAACCTAGGTCTAATCATTTTATGTAATGTTTTCATTTTGAAATGTCACATAATACACAATCTTTATGGCTCTTAACTTACCAGATCTAACCAGATTTAAACACTATTAACACATTACGGTTTCATGGGTCACTGAGTACTGTCAGTGAGCCCAGAGCTGAACTGGGCCCTTTTTACACGACAAATATTATAGATGTTTTTTTTTATTAAATTCAAAATATAAAAAGTGCTCCTGATTGTGCACCACAGGTAAAGTCGATCTACAGAGTGGGGTTGTCGTGATATCAGAATTTAAAACTTCGATATGATACTAGTAAGCTTCAAACAATATAGGTACCTGTTTTATTACCATGGCAACAGTAATAGAAGTTGTGGTCACCTAAAATTGGGCAATTAATTGATTTTTATTACCAAACATTGCAAGCAATCTCCTGCACCTTGTCTAAATTGCACAAATACATTGGCAATAGATCACCTCTGTAAACTGATCGTTTTGAATCTTTTGGACCACCGTTGTCTCTCTCTTTCTCTTGCAGCAACTTTGGGTAAAAATATGATCAGATAGATTTGTTTTGTTTTTTTCTTGATACTATAAATCATTAAAAATAGCACTTACTGTTACTAATGCATTTGTTCGATATGCTGTGTCCTACACGATTGGTATCAATGATACTGTTTCCTAGATAATCCTCCGTTGTATCTGAAGAGCCTTGCATGTTAAATAAAGATCAAATAAATAAGTAAAAAGGGTTTTCATGGACTGCTGACCTCAGACCTGCAGCATCACTTGACCTCTTTTGTGTTCCTTTGCAATGCAGGAGGATATTTTCAACATCACAGCGGTTGACCTTGGGGCTCTAAAGAAACTGAGGATCAGACACGACAACAGCCAGGCCGGTGCCGGCTGGTTTCTTGACAGAGTGGAAATTGTAGACAACAAAGATGACAGCACGTGAGTCATGATGTCCGATAGAGAAGGGATTCACTTAATTTAAGACACAAAAGTGAATCTTCACAAAAATCATTTAAATTATATATGAAATTCTAACAAAAAAAAATGTATCAATCATTTATTTACATGTAAGAAAGATTCAACACTATTATGCGGCCACTACAAACAAAAATGTCACAGCTGAATATAGTCCTTCATAGTAGACAGTACCTCCTCATATAAAATGTAAGTATAGCTCCCTCTTGTGGTGTGAAATAGTACTAAGTTTCAGAAACAGCTTCTCTGTGGTGATGTAGGATACATCTAAATTTAGATAACTATTTTATCAAAGTGTTTTTGGACACCGGGAACATTCAGCAGTCCTAAACAAAGACTAAAACAGATATTTGTTATTTTAAAAAATGTAAAAAAAAATATACATATATACAATATATTCTGTTGTAGATACTTTTTCCCTTGTAAACGCTGGCTGGCCGTTGATGAGGATGACGGACAGCTCGCCAGGGAGCTGGTTCCTGTGGACGAGGCTTTTATGAAGAAAGGGGATGATGATGACGAAGACTCTGAAACCACACTTGGTCTGGAACAGAAAGGTAACAGAAACACTTTAGCTGCCATGTTCTAAAGAGTCAAAAAGTGACAACTGAAATTAAACATTAAGCTTCAGTTGGATTATTAAGAAGAAGAACAAGATTTTTTTCTTGTTTTCTTTGTATTTCAGCGATGTCAACAACATACACGATGAGGATAAAAACTGGTGACAAAAAGTACGCAGGGACTGATGCGAATGTGTTTACGATCCTGTACGGCACCAAGGACGACACAGGTTATACTGAACTCGACCTCAAAGCATTTATATTCCTGTGAATATGCTTTTAGATACGGTGGTCAATCTGTGATGTGTGTATCTGCAGGGATAATAAACCTGAAGGCTTCAAAGACTCACAAGAATAAGTTTGAGCAGGGGATGATCGATGAGTTCATCGTGGAGGCTGTGGACATCGGACCACTGAAGAAGCTGCGTGTGGGACACGACAACCGTGGTACAGAAGAGCAGACTCATGCCTGTGGAGGGAAAAATACAAAAACAGTCAAATGGAACAATTTGTGTGATTAAAATGACTTGTGTTGATGTATAGGAGGCGGCTCGGCAGGCTGGTTCCTCGACTGGGTGGAGATCGATGCCCCGTCTCTTGGACAGAAGCTGCGTTTCCCCTGCGGTCGCTGGTTGGATAAAGGGGAGGATGACGGGGCCATCGTCAGGGACCTTTTTCCAAATCCACTTCAGACGGAGCTTTACACACCATGTAAATCAAACTCCAACATCTCTACATCACACTTACACAAAACGTAAGGTATATGATGCACTGATTTTTCTTTGTTTGTTTATGTTTTGTAGTTGTTCCCTATGAGATCAAAATCTTCACGAGTGACGTGTTTGGAGCCGGCACAGATGCCGACGTCTTCATTGTCCTGTACGGGCGAGATGCAGTTTGCACCCAGCAGAAGTCTCTGTGCGTCAACAAGAGAGAGAGGCTGATGTACTTTGAGAGAGGAGCCGAGGACATGTTTATTGTTGAGGTACAAACACACTTTATAGTCATTAATAGACAAAGGAATAGAATTGGTGCATTTAACATGCTCTGTTAGTATTTTTCTGAACACATTATTCATTTAGTGATGTTTTTGTGCAGCTTGAAGACGTGGGGGATGTCATTGAGAAGATCCGTATCGGCCATGACAACCGCGGGGTCAACCCAGGCTGGCATCTGGACCGAGTGGAAATAAGACGTCTGCTTCGGAAAGGAAAGGTACTAAAGAGGTGGAGGAAGTATTCAAGTCCTTTACTCAAGCAGGAAAAAATGACAAGAATAAGACCTGCTTTGAAAACGTCTCTGAGGTTTACATGAACACTATGAGTAAAATGTTCTTAAAGTGTAAAAAGTTACAGCACTTAAACTGAGACAGAATGTTCCCAGCCTGTGTAATACTAAAATATGTTATCATGATTGATGTTTAATCATTGATACATTCATGTAAAATTATGTATCAGCTGTTTTTTTGTAACATTGCATCATATTTGATAAATTATCAAATGTTTTGTTTATTTAAACCTGATCTGTTAACTCTAAAAAAAAAAAAAAAATCTGAAGGCCTACATACAAATAAAATATTTGCTTCTGAATTTCAATGGATACATGTAAACAAGTAAAGTACTATAAATGACCTCAACATTTTTATTTTTTTAATTTAATTGAGCTTTTTTCAAAATGTCCTTAAGTACAGAAGAACAGTTCCATACACTTACACGTGATATGTAGTTTAGGTTATAAAAACATTTTTAAAAATTGAAGCAGAGGACATAGCATAGTATGCTCTGATCAGCTGGTGACAAACAAGCACTACATTTGGTCAGTAGGTGGAGATATTCTCTTTACATATAGATGTGGTGAGTGTATGTCTCACACACTGGAACAAGCAAAGACAGTGATCACTGAACCTCTTCTTAAGCATCAGCAAACCAATTAACCCCTAGTCTCTTCCCCTCTCTCTGTAGGGTTCAGAGACCGTCATCTTCCCCTGTGAATGCTGGCTCGCCAAATCGGAGGATGATGGAGAAACGGTGAGAGAGCTGGTGCCGTCTGACATCATCACTGAGAAACTTTCTCGAGACGGAAACCTGAAAGTCACTGAAGTCGAGGTGGAAGATGCCCTGGAGAGTACGTCAACACACGCCGACATTCAATACAATCAACTGCAATCATGAACAGAAAAAATGAAGGAATGTTGTGCAGGATTTAACTCCATATTATGTCCTGTCTGCTCTTCAATTTCTTTGTTTGGGATGTAGACATAATCCCCAAATTAGTTTCTGTTCTGACATTGGCATGAAATAGCTTCAAAAAACAACTTTCTGTAAGCTCTATATTCGGCCATTACCTGAGACCAATGATCTATGTGTCTTTCTTTGATCATCCCCTCAACAGCTCACACATACAACGTGTCAGTGATGACAGGTGACGTGTGTGGAGCCGGAACCGACGCCAATGTCTTCCTCACGATTTACGGGGACCTGGGGGACACCGGGGAGAGGAAACTCAGCAAATCAGAGACAAACAGCAACAAGTTTGAGCGTGGATCTGTAAGAAATCATACATTTCACTGATTTGCAGAAAATAGATGACACAAAAAAAGTTCAAACGTCGTAAAAGGTTTTACCCTTTCACCAATGGTTATGTTTGATACCCACAGGTGGATAAGTTCACCATGGAGGCAGTAGACCTCGGACAGGTTTTCAAAATAAAAATCCGCCATGATAACAGTATGGTGAGTGCAGACTGGTACCTAGACCAGGTGGAGGTGTTCGACGTGGACACAGAGGAGGTCTTTCTCTTCTTATGTGAACGTTGGCTGTCCAGGAAGAGGGAGGACCGGCGCATTTGCAGAGTCTTCTATGTCAAGGTAACGTGGGAAACATCTGTGTGTGATAAAAAAACACAGAGAACACACAAATGTCCATGTGTTTTCAGATTGATCACTGGTACATTTGATTGGAAACATTGCCAACACAACACAAAGCGACCGATGCACTGATCACTGAGAACAGTTTTAATCAGAACATCTCTCTTGTGAAAAAAACGTCTCTCTGTGTGAGCTATAATGAGAAATGTTGAGTTTTCCGGATGTGACACCTTAAAGCTCTGAGGAGTTCAAAATAATTTGCCACCCACCTCCAACACCTCAAGCAGAAAATCGAGGAAATCAATACCTCAAATCCTCAGCACATAAATCTACTGCACTGCGTGGCAGGTAAATAATGATTTCACCCGCTTGTATAGTTTGTTCATTCTTGTAAATCTTTTTTTGCTTTTGCTGGATTGCTGTTTTTTTTTTTACTTTATTTTAGTTCTAATTAAACTGTGTTCTGAGATAAGAACAGAGTTACATTTATTAGATGTGATCACATAGTTGGCAAATAAAGTCAAATCTTTCTCTGATTTGGGGTTTTCAGAGTTTGAGAGTACATTTCCACATGTACTAAGTACACAGTGAGACCAAATGTTCCTCGAGGACTGTGATGCTACATGAGACAATTGACAACTAAAAATTAAGAATTGAGAAGGAAGAGGATTTAATATGAGATTAAATGCGATGACAAGAGGTGGTTGTCAATAGTTAAATTATTAAACAAAGCAAAGTGGATTGATGAAGCAGTTAATTAAACCAGTAACAACAAGATAAAGTGATAAAGACAAGATAAAGTGACTAAAACAGATAAAGTGGCAATGTTAAAGCATTTTTTTTGGGGTTTTTTTAGATGCAGAACATCATCAACTGATCTACATAAGTTCCTATGAAGTGCAGTTGATACAGTATACATTCATACATTTCCTACATAGTGCAAAAGTCAGTCACTGTGTGTTGAGGAGTCTGACGGCTCGAGGGGGAAGAAGCTATTACACAGTCTGGTAGTGAGAACATGGTAATCAATGGTAATCACTATCATTGCACAGTATATCCTTCAAAGTAGATTTTGTGTTTCTATAAATCTTATATACAATAAGATACGGTACAATACGCTACACTTTGTTGACCCCTTAGGGAAATTTGTTTGGATTCAACAGAAGCCTATACCAATGAGAAACACAACCCACAGACATTGCCTTTATTGCACAATTATAAAAACACACCACAAGAGGAAAAGTGCACTATGCCATGTATCTGTTTTTTTCTATTTTCAGGATTATGAGGGAGTAAGAGAAGGCCTCAACGGTAAGAAGAACTCAGCACTGACAGTGAAAAGTGTCGACAGCAACATGAACAAAAAGAGCAAAAAGAAAAAGGAGGAAGAAATCGAGCTCCCGAGTAAGAAAATCAAGAATCCTCAGCACTGCACGCCTGATTCATCCTCTGCTCTGTGAATTTTCGTCATAAAATATTCCAACTCAAACATCTCTGCATAATCTCTTGTTGCTCTCATGAATGAATAATTGCTGTTTCCTTCCTGTACAGTCATACCGTACCACATGACCATCTGTACCGGACTGGAGCGTGATGCGAGCACCACCAGCAGGGCTTATGTGATCATTATCGGGGCCAATCACACCCAGACAGAGAGACTGTGGCTGGACCTGCCGGATGGGAGGAAGGGCTTTGAGTCCGGCTCTCTGGAGAGCTTCGAGACCCACGGTTCAGACGTGGGGGAGATCAAAAAGGTCGAGGTGAGGGAGGTCGGTAGGGGGGAGTTTCAGTGAGGATTGAGCACTCCCAAGCGCCCACACACTCATGATCACACACAAAAAAAAAATACGCCCCCATTGCTGGACGTGATTGTTTCTCTTCCCACCTGCAGCTCGGCCATGATGGTGCCACTCCTGAGAGCTGCTGGCTGGTTGATGAGCTGTCTGTTGCTGTGCCAACCAAAGGGGTCAAATACATCTTTACTTGCAAGTGCTGGCTTGCCAAAGATCGAGGAGACGGTTTGACGGCGAGAATGTTCAACGTGCTGGATGCAGAGAACATTTCGATCTCCCAGAAGGTATGTTGACGTAAGACAATGAATACAAAGCACAAACATGTTGCAGAGAGTGTTCACCACAGTCAAATCAAATAAGATGACAGACATATAACAATTAATCAATTTATATCACACCATCATAAACAAACTGATTTACATAAAAAGTAAATAAGAATTCATCAAAAACGAATTTCTGTAACTTCCTCCTGTCTGCATCAAGATTAAATGGATTTAATTATGTATATTTACATTATATTCTATAGAGAGTTAATCTGCAATTAAAAGTGTAATTTTGAATATGTAGGCTTGATTAAAATGGATACAAAGGTACAAAAGTTTTTTTGCTCTTAGAAATGTCTAGAATATTGTATAAACATTTCCCAAGACGTTTTTTTAAGGTGTTGGCCTGGTTTGTTATTTAGAAAAAGTCTTTGACAACTGTATAAAGCCTTTCTATTATAATTGACTTCAGTCGTTTGACTCATTGTTGCTCCTCAATTAAATGGCTAATGTAGTTCAATAATATGTCATGTAAATCTATTATACCTCAAGATATTTTATTATCCGGTGATACCAGACAGAGTGGTCTCCTATCTGCATATGGTTTCTTTTAGAAGATGAAATGAAATGTATAAAAATTATCTCAATTTCTCATTAACATTTCCTTGATTTGTAACTTTCATTACTTTTGAACGGTCTCTCCTTGTGTCACTGTGTTAAAAGAGGTGTTCGCACTAGAGCTCGACCGATTAATCAGCCAGCCGATAATATAGGCCGATATTAGCATATCCAGTGACTATCTGTATTGGCTAATTTTATCTCACATGTGTCGATATTACTAAATATATTCTACAAATAGCATTCCCTTTGAGTTTCATTGTATTAAACTTGCAGTTCTCTGTTACCAGCAGGGTGTGCTATATGGATTACAACAAGCATTATCACTCTCCGGAGTGTCAAGCGGCGATGCACATACATGCACAGTTACTTTCCAGTTGAGTGACCATCTAGTCTTACTTACACTGTATTTATTTTCTACAAGTGTTTGATAACTGCATTTGAGGGATAAACAAAATAAATGTGTGTGTGTGTGTATCTATATATAATGTATCGCTACAGATTGAACATAGATCTAAGAAAATATCGGCCGATATATCAGTATCTGATTTTTTTTCCCCCCACAATATCAGTATCGGCCTCAAAAATCAGTCGGGCCTAAGTTCACATATCCAACTCTTATGACGTAGGTGCAAAAGAAATCGAACTGACACATGGAAAAGAAAAAATCCTCCACACTTCTCCTGCTTGGGAGAGCTAATAAAAAAAAAAACACAACATTTCGGTCCCTCTGAACCTTCTTCATGGTGTGTGAGAACAGTAGAAGGGTAGAGTGCTGGATATTTTCTTTTCCATGTCACTGTATCACTATAAAAACCCACTTTGAATAATATCAGTCTGAATTATTTTACGGGTGTTTAAGACAACACGTCCCCCTTACAATTGCTAGAAATATGAAAGAATGTATGTGTGTTGTTCAATAGCTGCAGCAGGTTATATTCACAGCCTTGGCTAGCGATGGTTACAGGCTTTTCAATCTTTCTAGAAATAGTTTAATTATTGTAAGTAACATGTCAAATGCTCTCTTGGCAGATTATCTATGAGGTGACCGTGGTAACAGGAGACGTGCAACACGCAGGAACAGACACCCTGATCTTCATGTCTGTGTTTGGAGCAAACGGCAGCACGGAGGAGATGCCGCTGCAGAAGAACGAGGATAGGTGCGAGAGCACGCTAATCAGAAACAACATCAAATCAAACACATTATTCAATAACTGCAGATTATATACAACTCTTGGCTGTTTGTTTGGTGGATGACAGGTTTGAGCGGGGTCAGGAGGACACTTTCAACATGGAGATAGATGACATCGCCCCATTGAGAAAAATGAGGCTTCGTATTGATGGTTCCGGCAGTCGACCTGACTGGTTCTTGGATAAGGTCAGCACACTTGTAAAGGAAACTCTCAAAATTACAATCAGCGTCTCTTAGGAGATAACACCACTGGCTTTATAAAATAATCTATTCATTTATGTTTGTGGCTCGCGCTTCTAAACTTCTAGTTCTTGAAACTGTCCATCAAGACTTTAACAGTTTTATTGGACAGGATACTAAACCGTTGAGAAATCTATGAACTAAACTCGAGCCAAATCAAACAGACATGTTACGTGAGGTGTTAAAGTTAAATAAAACATATATATATAACAGAGGAAATGCTTCAAGTAGACTCCTGTACAATTCACTGTTTCTCTTCCTCATTTTGTCAGGGCCCAAAATGCTTCTCAGGAACAAACTGCAGATCTCGTCCATAAAACATAAAACCAGGAGCATAAAAAGCAACAATACCTAGTCGCTTCTTCCAAAATCAATAATACAAAGCAGTCACAGGTTTGTGTTTTTACCCTGCCTTTGTATGCTATAGGTCACACAGGATCATTCAGTCTATTATATCACACAGACACACATAGACATACACACACATAAACAGATCTATCCATGCCTGCAGGAGAGCGGTCAATGATTCATCCATCCACCCACCCGCAGACAAAGACACAGACACATATACGCACACACATACACAGCAGGGCCCAGAGTTCCTGGAGTGAGCATATTGACCCACTTTTCTCATCATCATTCTACTGTTGGTGCTTGCATCACACAGACACAGACACACACACACACACACACACACACACACATATACATTGAAACACAGGGTAATGAGCCCCATCTGTCTCTGTATTCAGTGTAGAAAGGATGTATTTAATAATCAATTTTCTTTAAGTGCCAATTTGTGTGGAAATCACATTTGTAATGCATGGTCCAGCAGACTAATCAAGTACCTTTGTACATAGTTTAAAAAAAATGTCCAGTATTTTTTCTCCGCCGCTTACCCTGTGAGGACAAAATCACTGCTCACCTCCAAATTCAATCTGATGTCTCATGACAAAACTCTGACGCTTTGATGAAACAGAGCACATTTCCTATGCAAATGTCCTCCCTGTTAAAGGCACCATGCCTGCAGAGCAGCAGAGCAGTCAGGAACAATACCCTGCCTTGTCCGTTTGTGCCTGGGACTCGGCGGCTGCGAACATCTCCTTGATTTGACCCTGCACAGAGCCTTGTGTGTTCAGCATCACAAGCAGATGTGCTGCCTCTATGGATTGCTGGGTCTCTGTATTGAAATGGACACAACAGTGCACCGGGCAAACTGCCAGCTGGTAATCTGCCCCAATAAATATGCAGAGGGGAGAGCTAATACGAGTGTGGGCAGCCTGCAACTGAGTCTTTGACTAGTGATGAAATGTCTCCTAGGGCTAATGATCTGACACAGGGGAGGAGTAAGAGTTTGTGTACATACCTGAATTAAATTAGTGTGGCTAATATGTGACAAAGAATATATTTATAATGATTCCTATCTACTGGAGTTGACTCTAGTGGTATGAAATTCACAGATGATATTAAATCAGTAATAGGCTAAGAGCACTACATGTAACGTGTCACTTTTAGATGCATCTTTCCTGTAATAATGGAATGAAAGAATCTTTGTTTTCCCATAAAAATGAAAGAAAATCTTAGAATACATCATATCATCATTTTTAAGCATATTAAAAAAAAGCGGTCATTCACAGATATCTGGTCTCATACTTTCAGATGAATTTTACGCTTTGCTGTGAAAGTTGACATTAATAATGAATAGCATTTGATGTGACATAATATATATGAAGAGAAAGCGCTCCGCTTCCAGGTGATCACGCGTAACCTGACCACAGAGGAGGTGTCCGTGTTCACCTACGAGGAGTGGCTCTCCAGGACCCGAGGACCCAAGAGAACCATGATCTGCGAGATGGCTGCTGTGGTGGACGAGGAGGTGATGGTGGAGCTCACCACCTACATCATCCAGGTCAAGACCAGTGACTGTACAGGTAAGTCTTGTGCAAGGATGGCTGCTGACTGTAGCCCATAAAATATATTTATATTATATCACTTAGTCCCATTAAAAAAACCGTTTTCACATCAGTTCCTAATGATATTAGTTAAAAAAAATGAGTGCATGATTAGATATTGCATTCCAAACCATTAATTAGAAATGTCAAATTTGTGACACATTTCGTGTAAGTCTACACATCTTACTATCTAGAGCATTTTTAGCCTGTTACCTCTTTTTCTACTTAAAATGTTCAGATGTGAAAAGTCTGTGTTTCTGGATAATTGCTTTTTATTGAGGATCTTTTAAATCTGACTCCACACTCTTCCAAATAAGTGCTATACTTTGTTAACGTTTAGAATCGGTTACAATCTCGATGAAACGCTCATTGCTAAGCTGGAGGTAAATGTTACACAACTCATTGTCCTCCTTTGACCTGTGCCTCTGTAGACGTTTACGTTTCCAGGAGAAGCTAAAGTGAAATAATTCATATTCAACTCAACATGGTAACGATAGAAACCCCCTTCAGGAAGCCTCCTCACAGCTTGGCTCCCTCTTTTCTTCATGCTGAATTTTTCTGCAGCTCAGCCGCCCTGCTGATCAATACGATAGCATAGCAAGCAGTCTGAGCTGACTTCAAAGTACTGCTCTCTGCCCTTGGCAGTTACTGGAAGCTAAGATGTAGCCATGTAGCACAACTGAGGCCTTGAATGGAATAATGAGCCTGGCTGATAGACACACACACACACACACACACATACACACACATGCTGACATTACATAGGTGAAACTCTTTGTAAAGGTAATGGTCTCCTCTGGGATATCATGTAGGGAATTTCATGTATAGTGTGACGAACATTTGAATGAGATGTAGGTATACGTACGTGCATATTTAAAGGTGTATGAAAAGAAATACACTCTTGAGGAATTCTTGGAGTTACTTTAATGTTGCTAATGCATTTTTCGCTAGTGCACGCTCAGTGTGCCGACTTGTGTAAAAGTAGGCCACAGAAAACATCCTGCAGTCTGAGGATGTCTGACTGCTTATTACACGTTCACTTAGTGTCTATCTCACCGCGTTGAAAGAATAAGAGCACTGAGGAATCACAGAGTTGTTGCCTCTATGCTCATTTTACTCTCTTGCATAATGCGGTTAATTGTTAGCTGGGGAGTGTCCTCGGGGCTTTGCAATCTCAGTTTTAATTCAACAAATCATTTCATACGTTCCTCCAGCGCTTAATGTGCAGTTTAGAAGATCTACATCAAAGCATGCATTTCATAATTTATAATCAACACACTCCATGACTGTTCACAGATGACGGCGAGAAAATGTTTTGTTTTTAAATTTTCATGAATTTCATGCTTTCAGTCAGATATATAAAATTCTTTTAGATTTGCAATAGCCATTAATTAGAACAAAACTGAACTGTAAGCTGAAGCCTCTTGGGTTCAAAAGTGAAGCCAATGCTGAGAGTTCTTAGACATGCTTTATTTTTAAAGGCCAGCAGGGGGCAACTTCACTGCAAAAAATGTTGGGCCGTAAAATTGGGCCAATAAAGAGTAAAAATGAACTTTTTAGGGTTTGCTTTAGGGTTGTGGCCACCTGTGATTGACAAGTCGCTATCAACCTGGATATGATGAACTATGCATATTGAAAGACAAAGTACTTATTGACTCCAAACAACAAGAACATAAACACCAGACTACAGGCTTCAACACAGAAGTCCACAGGAATGGTTGATGTCACAGTGTCTTCATTTCTTACAGACAGTCTGTGGCTAAAGTACGTTTTTCAAAGTGAATCCAATGACAACATCAAGGGAAGCAGATCTCCTTATTTTTTTATATAATTGGCTCATCTTCTCTCCTCAGGGGCAGGAACTGATGCCAACGTATGGATCATTGTTTTTGGAGAGAACGGAGACACAGGGACGCTGGCGTTGAAAGAGTGCAACAAGTCCAACAAGTTTGAGCGCAAGCAGGTCGACACATTTCGCTTCGCCGATATCCTCAGCCTGGGAGAGCTCTCTAAAGTGCGAGTCTGGCACGACAACTCAGGTCAGCCATTGCTACACACTGGGTGAATTAAACTTGAACTCTGTAACCGTGTCTGTAAAGTGTCACTAAGGAGATACTGGGCTACAGAACAAGGAACATTAGGACATGCAATTTCAGTGGAGTTAAATCAGAGTGGTTGGTCAGCCTGAAGTTTGTGCTCCCAGCTTGGAGTGCCAGGGTCTGATATCACATTCCTCTTGTAGTGTTTCATCTCAGAAGATGCAAAAAGAAACAAACCTCTTAGGGTATACAGCTGTTGTCTTTTTACTTTCTGTTATTTTTTCTGATTCCATTACACACAGGTCCTTCTCCAGGGTGGCACCTGGATTATATAGATGTAAAGGATGAGATCTTGGACAAAACATTTCGTTTCCCCTGTGATCGCTGGCTTGCCAAGAATGACGATGATGGGCAGATAATGAGAGAACTGGCCTGTGCTAACAACGACTACTTGGACCTCAACGAAAAGACGAGTAAGGCAAATCATGAAACGTCATTTAATGGTGTCATCTTTGTGATTTCTATCTACAGTATGTTGATTTGGGAACACTGCTGGTGTGGTTTACTACTACTGGTCTCTGCAGCAAATACCTGTTGACAATAAACGGAAGAAGAACGGGTGTGTCCCTTAGCAGTGCAGCACAGGCACAATTAAATCGATTCAATAAATAAGTCAGACAATGATCTGCCTTTTCCCATCGTACAAGGAGCAACAATGATCAGCTTAGCCAGATTTCTAAAAAACTTCCACAAAGAAGGTTTTGCTGAATTGACATTCATTGAATTGCTATTGCAGAGAAAATGTACACCAATTATTTAATAAAAAATGGGTTTCAATTTTGAATTGTATAACATTCTTGTGCTTAAACGTGTGCTGTGTAATTTGTGTGGAAGTAAAGAGGTCTAGGACTTGTCTTTAAGAAGACACCTGAGATTGACTGTAACTGCCTGTGTTCTCTCTCTTAAAGAGTATGAAATTTGTACAAAAACTGGAGACGCTGCTGAAGCTGAAACCAAAGAAAACGCATGGATTGTACTGGAGGGGAAGAAGGGCCGATCAAAGGAATTTGTAATGGAGAACTCCTCAAAGAAGAAGAGGTTCTTGCGGTGGGTACTTGTGCGTGAGATTAACTCAATGAGCTGCAACTTGTATGCATGAAGAAGCTTAAAGAAATGTGCTTTCTCTCCCTCTTACTCTACCTTTACACTTATGATAATCCTGCCAGTGGCAAGCACTTGAGCTCAGAGCAGTGGTGCAATCCACTATTATGACATTACGTCATCCAGTAGAAAATTCATTCTGCCACTAAACAAATTGGCAGTGACATGAATTTTAAAGCATGTGGCCTGATTTAAGAGAAAAGCTACTCGCTCTAACGTGCTTATTTTTCGCTCTTTTTCTCCAGGGGAAACGTCGACAGGTTCGACTTTTCATCCAAGAACTTGGGTGACATTGTTGGTATCTGCCTGGGCCACACACCCAAGGATGGAAAGAAAGTTAAGGGGGAGGTTTTCTGGTATGTGGAGGAGGTCGTTGTGACTGAAAGGGAACTGGGAAACAAGTAAGACATCTGTTACAGCTCAGTGATCCATATCTATACAAATGTACCGTATTTACACTGTGGCTTTTTTTCTCTAACGTCATGCTGAGGGTGGAAAACAAAATGTTTTTTCGTCGTTGTACTTGCTGCTGTGTTCCAGGTTTCAATCATATAAACAGAGGAAATCCTAAATTGCTATTATTTCTTTGCTTCTTGATATATCAGCAACTGAAAAGACAACATTTAAAATCCAAAGGGACATCTAAACAATATTTGACCCTCCATTCGTTCAAATTTGTGTCAGCTCGAAGCAGACGTGCACTTATAGAGAACTCAATGACCCTTGTTTTAGAGTCTTGTTTTTTCACTCATCTGACGCACACAGTGCTGCAGGAGCTGCATTTGTCAACAGAGCTGTCAGTCATGGTGTCACATCCCCTTTTGTATGGCCTCAAATAACTAAGTACATTTTTGATTTTGGCTCGATTTTTTGGCTTCACTTTTTAGGAGCTGTCATGTCACCCGTCCTTAACTTTATTATTGTTTGGCAATGTAAAAATGAATGATAGGAAATCCTTGAATGACTAGCTTTCAGTCATGTTAGTCAAGTAATTGGTTGAACTCTAACATTAGCTGTTGAGACTTAACTTACAGTAGCTGTTTTTTACTTAATAAGTTATCAAATGTTGCAAAAACAAAAGATTTGTTTCATTTTCTGATAACTAGGAAGTGGTGAGATTATGACCGTTATACAGATGTGTTACTTTTATATGATTTGAAACACAATAGGGATGACATTTTTACAGAATTTGACCTTTGCACCCTGAGTTTGATATTATGGGAAATGGCCAGAGTGTATGTATGATGAAGGCAGAGATCATTTTTTATTTCTGATCATTATTTGTTAGTATCAAGAGGTAACGTTTCAATTCTGTATTATCACCTCACCAGGTACATCTTCGGTTGCAATGCCGCCATCCCCCTCTCACCGAAGAGGGACGATTTCCTGACCTTTGAGTGCACGAAGGCCATCGAGAGCTTTGCCAGTAAAGCTCGAAGCCTTGTGCCCGTCAAGTATGAGATAATCATCATCACAGGCGATGAGAAGGGAGCAGGTACGGATGCCAATGTTTTCATCACTATCTACGGCTCCAATGGAGACTCAGGCTGTCGGCCGCTGCGGCAGAAGTTTCGCAACCTTTTCGAACGCGAGCAGACGGACCGTTTCATTCTGGAAATGTTGGATATGGGAGAGCTGCAGAAAGTCCGTGTGGAGCATGACAACTCTGGCCTGAGCCCCGGCTGGCTCCTGGATCGCGTGGAAGTCACAAATACAGCCAATGGTGTCACCACCATCTTTCTCTGTGGGAAATGGCTGGACACTAACAGGGCAGACGGGCAGATCGTCCGGGTCTTTTACCCGAAATATTAGTGGAAGTATTATTCATAAAAACGACCACTGCAGAGAGATCTCAGCTCATGCTTTATAGTAGTAACCAAAGAGATTCTGCTCTGGTAAGTTTTATATCTCAGGAGCTGAGACATATTTTTACACTCGTAGGAATTTTTATGATATTATAGTTTAATATTTAAATACACCTGCAAAGAAATACTGTGACAATATCGTCTTCAAACAGGGAGCTGAATGTGCCATTCTTTTTAAGTTTCATATGTCAGGGATGGTTTGCTCAGTTGCTTTGTTATAATGGCGATTTTATAAAAGATTAAACTCTTTTGTGATACTCAGACTACTATATTGAAACATGTCATACTTTTTGATTCGTCTATCCAAACAACATTCATATTAGCAGATCTTTATTTTAAAGATGCCGGATCAGATATATTGATGTTAAGATCTGTTTAAATGGGTCATAAACTTAAACTTAAACACAACTTTCTATGCTGCCCTCAAGTGGCCAAAAAGCAGTTACGGCCCCTTTAAATTTGAAGACTTTAAAAAACAAGTCAAGGCGAGTTTTTAAAAATATTCAGAGTCCTGAAAGGCTCAGGTAAGAAAAAATATCAAGACATTTGTAAATCCATTCCTACTGTTTAAAAAAACGTGTGCACAGTTTAAAATCCTTGCCCAGAGATTTGCAAACTGCTTTCAGTGTTTTCTTGCCTGAGCATTTTGGGGTACGTTGATGCATAACATCTAAAGACTGTTTTCACCTGATGTTGAAGTGAATAATAGAGATGGCTGCAGGTTGAGTATTTTTCAATTTTACCTCCTAACCAAGGCTTGATCATCAGAGGTCAGGTTGGAACCCCATTAAGTTTTTGGAGAGAGCTTGCACCATAACATAATAGAATAAAAAGGCACTACATGTACTAATCCATTTTATCCAATTTATTACAAAAAGAGCACATACAAAAGGATAATATACAAGCCATGAAATAAAGTTAAAATAAAATAAGAACAGTTTGGGTTCAGCAATGCAACTCTTGAAATCATTATCATTATTATTAGTAATAATAAATAAAGTACAAAATTCCACCACATGTGAATCTAACATTTACGCATAATATGCTCATCCATTTCTTGATCAACACACTCATCACATTAATGCGCTATTGCTTTAATATTAATGATAAATAGTTCTATTTTCAGATAAAATATCCTATATTGAAAAACATTGCGCAGTCACAGCTAAAACAGCAGATTTTCATACAAGGATGGCGGCAGCCCTTTCACTGGCACTTTTTGGGATATTTTCTCTTCAGCTTTGTTTTTCAGTTTCAAACAGCAACAAAATTCTTTTTTTTTCTGTTATATTCTTTGTATATATTTTCACCGTATACTATGAAACCATTGAGACTATATTGAAACCTGAGAAAACATGCATTTTTAGAAAAAGGTTGTGCTTTTAAATCCTTGCCTTCCTTTTAGACTGTGAAAGGAAACAGGACCGATTCTGAGAGGACAGATGGACGGTAGAATAAAAAAGAGTAGCAAGAAAAAGAAAGATAAACAGAACAGAGAATTAAATTAAGTAGAATTTATGTAGTATTTGTAAAGCCCACAAACATGCCTCTTTAAAGAACTTTTTTTTTTCTCTTGATGTAATGTTTTAGCACAACAAACCAGCAGCTATTTTGCTTGAATTTCGTGTATAATGGCTTTTGTACACTCCTGTCAAATGTTGCCTTAGCTCCTTCTTCATAATTAATAACGCAACCAATAAGGCATGGTGGCTTCATGGACTGATTGTTTTGAATGGTTGCAGAAATATGGAAAAATATCTACTAACACTTAAAGCGAGGCACTTGTTATGTTTAAGTCGAACAGAAGAAGAAGAGAAACACAAGGGAGACAAAAATCGAAGACAGACAGAATTCAAATGAAGGAACATGCTTCACTGATGATCGTAAAGACCCATAGTGCATTGTGAGAAGCAGAGCATACACAAAAAACAGTGTTTAGTGATAATATTAAAATTATCTAAACTAACTTTTTGCCAGTGAGAGGGTTCCCATTGTTAAACAAGTGAGTGCAAAAAAAAAAAGAAAAAGACACAAACTAAAAAAAAAAAAAAATCACTTCATTGCAGTTTGTCCACTACATCACAGCATGGGGGATCTGAGAAATTGCATTGAATGGAATGTAACCAAGATTCACAGCACCACATGGGAGAGATAGAGAGACAGACAGACAGACAGAGAGAGAGACAGAGAGAGAGAGAGAAAGAAATAGAGTGAGTGAGAGAGAGAGAGAAATAGAGCGGGCTCAGTTGCTCAGACTTTGACAGTAGACATCGCACAGCCAGCTCGTCGAGATCTAACAGCAGGGCGTCTTTAACTTTAGTGTTCCAAAAAGTACAACTGCATGCAAAGCATTCCCATTTAAAACAATGCAAAAATGAGGTAATAGTTTTTTTTCATACCATTTTTTTTGTTATTTCTAAATAAATAAATTATGATTCAGTTGCCCATCCCGCAAAGAAAACTATATAAAATTAAATACATACCCACAATATCTACAGTTAGTAATAAATTATGATTGTTAAATACTTAAGGCATTTCAACTGACAACACCCTGTGTAAACTATGAAAACTTCATCAAAGATGACTCCACTACAGGAGGAGGCAGAATCAACACTGGCAGTGCACAAGACAGGGAGAACTAATCCTTGCCAAATGGTCCTCGAGGGCTCAATCCTTTACTTTCGTTGATAAGAACAGTAGAGTGTCTTCAAACAGGAGGAAAACTGGTCAGGCTTTTGCCACATTTCCACCAATAAGTAGGAACCTAAGGAGGTACATATTGTTTCCTCAACTGGGACAAGGGTCAAAATAATGTCCCAGGGGCTAAAATATACAGGACCTTTGGGGTTCCAAGAACTTTATTCTTCTCTCCAAAATGTGTCTCTAGGGGGTTATGTTTTCTGAAAGTACTGGTACTTTGAGGAGGGAGTTGTAGCGCTGAACAGTTGTGAGTTATAGTTATAATCAGAAGTACTCGCAGGAAGCATAACTGTTGCTCACCTCATCCGATTAATTTGATAAATCTTCAAGGGTCTTCAGAAACTGGAGGAAAGGCAGACAACTTTGTAATTGCCTGAATAACAATCCCTGGTCCAAATAATAATGTATTTCCACTGCAGGAACTTTTTTTCAATCACTACAGACTACAGAAGATATGCATTGTATTAAAAAAGGCAGGGACCAGGGTCAAAGGTAGGGGGTGAGATTTTCTGAAAGAACCAGTACCTTAAGTTGGGACTTGAAGCGCTGAACATTTCAAGTTTCTGAAGAACTTGCAGCATTTTGAAGTCTCTTTCTCACCTCAGAAGACTAATTTGTCTTTAAGTCTCTGTAGAAACAAAGACAACAATGGCCTCTGGGAATATATATATTTTTTTGTCCAAAGTAGCTTAAACCAGTAGCTTGGTTTAAAAGGCATTATTTTTCAGAAGAGACACTAGCCAGTCTAGCAATTCCTTTCAAGGGTTGATACTTTAAAAATATGTGCTCCAGGCACAGTGACCAGGGTCTTAAGAAAGTAGAAGGTTTTTTTGAACATTATTTGACGTAGTATTTTTTACTTCGCTGTGGGCCTGAACAGTACTTTTATTGGGGACACAGCTTAAGTAGTGAGAAAGAGGGTCCACTTATCTTAACAGCCTATCTTCCCTCCTGATGCGCCGTCTCATGTCTGTGTGCACTGCGAGAGGGAGGCTGCCTCTGTCTCACCACGTTCTAAATGTTCTAGCAATACAGCATAGCAACCAGCATAGCAACCACGAGGGGAGGTCTGTCACACGAATACACAAGATCAATACGTAAGCTCCTGTCTCTGCTGAAAACACTGCATGAATCTAGACCTAAATATAAACCGAATGCAATACCAAAAAAACGTTTGTTCCTATATAACTATTGTCACATGTGCTTGTTCTTTAGGCATTAAGGTAAACATCAAAAAGAGGATTCCAGGGCTGCCACCAAAGGGGACTGGATGAACACACGCTACAAGTCAGTGGAGCAGCCGCTGACACCGTGCTCATTTTTTTTTTGTTTGTGTTAAGAAGATAGTCACAGCTCAGATTAACTAAGTCATGCAAAGCCATCTGTGTACTGTTTCGCAGAAACTCTACCAAAGCAGCCACCCAAGTCAACAGTGAAACATGCATTTTTTTCGGCGCACACAGTTCTGCCGCTGGCCAGATGCCAGATGAAGATGCAGGTAAAAGGGCAGCTAAATGTTCCTCCCACTTTCCTCTGCAGCGCACATCGGTTTCCTTTTTTTAATCCTTTTTTTTTGGCTTTGTGTTGTATAAGCACTCCAGTGGCCTTGCTGTTAACCTACCACAAGTTTTAGGTGTAGCACGCACACTCACATTTGCACTTTCTGAACATACACACATTTGTTCAACACATTCCTGAAGTCACATACACACACACACACACACACACACACAGCAGGGCAGAGCACACACACACACACATACACACAACCTGCTTGAGGCTCAAGCTACACTGTGACAAAATGCATTTTGGTAAAAACACTTCTACCTATTTTGAAGTTTTAAAAACACACATATGACAACTCGATCACTTGGCTTGGCTTCCACAGCAGTGAAAGAGACCTACTCACACAACACCAACCCAAGGTAAATATATTGCAAAAGGTCAAAGCTGCATGATAGAATTAAAACACTTAGCTAGCTAGTGCAGCAACAGCGCACCAGGTTATCACTTGTTGGTTACTGCTACTCTACTACGACCACAAATGATCTTTAGGTAAACATGGCATCAGAGCATTTCGTTTTTCTTGTGTGGCAGAATATTCACTTTGATTGAAGTGTTTTAAAAGAGAAATATATATTTGTATATATATTTATATATTGAGAAAGAGAGAAAGTAGCCAGCTCAGTGTGGGGTTATGCGTTTTCCACTCTCAGGACATAAAGTCATGGCTTTGAGGACATGCTACACAGCCCGTGGCTACCTACAGTACGACACCACAACAGCAACAACACCCCACTTACAACCAGCAAGCTACAAGTAAACCCTGTGTACATGAGTATATGTGTGTGTTTGTGTGTGTCTTTTGCCTCCA